ACTCCATGTAGATAATATTCCATCACGGACATTGAGCAACACTTGCTGAATGTTTATGGAGACCAGTCAGTAGATGTGAGCACCGTGAGCCAGTGAGTGCCGCATTTTAGCAGTAGCCACAGAGGGTCACCTCCACTGCTGCAGATTACTATGAGCACAATATACCAACTCCTGTACACCGCTGCTCAATATGCACAGCTGTGATGGTGATAATGATAAAAAATAGCATTTTGTAGCTGTGAATCTGCTCCAAACAACAGTGTTATTGTACTCATTGTCAAAGTTTCTATGGGAATAAATAGGAGGCATTACTTTCACAGAAGTGTATCGATATGCAGACCAACACAATTCCTACTACCACAATGCAGCTCGGGCAAGACAGGGGGCTGCACAACATGCATTACGGTGTGTCCCAAAAATGACCCAATTGAACAGCTGAGCTGCAGGAGAATGCATCAGAATGGCTGCATAACAGCACGGCTGGATGGAGAGACATCATGACCAGGAGGCAAAACACACAGCATTCACAGGGAGAAGCACAACTCGGCAAAGCAAGAATGCAATGCGTGCACCTCTTGCAATGCACAGCTCCACACACAGCAAACCACAGCAGCACTCTCAAAACATGCTGCACATTTCTCTCTGACACTTTCCTGCACAGAACATGCAGGCAAACCTTCCTTCTCACTCAGCATTCTGGGAATGGGGGATGTCAATTGCAAATGCAGCTTCCCGCTCGAGCTCAAGGCCATTGCACACAGCCCTTCCTTTCTCCAGCCACAAGGACACCGGCTGTGCAGACTCACAGGTGCTACTGAATGGAACACCCAGAAAACTGCCCCACACACTGAGCCCTGCAGCTCTGCACTTCTGCGTCCCCCACACGCATAAGCATGGCCCAAATGATCACCCAGCACATGGGACACCAAATGAACTGGGCACCGTGCAAAGAACCCCACTACAGAGGCAGTGCAGAAACTGACAGAACACATTGTAATCCTGTCTTTCCATGACACGTATAAAACATGCATCGTGTTGTTGCTGCTTAAGGGAGTAGAGGGAACACGTAGCATTCCCGACAAATACAAACAACCAATCCCTCTTAGAGCTCCCTTAGACACTGAGATGCTGCCCAGTAGACTGCCAGTGGATCCTCAGCCATGCCAGTTCTGCCCCAGGTCTATCAGCTCTTGCTCCATCTCAAGTTAGAATTACTGAAGCATTTATGCAAAAGCACTCCAACACAAAAAGAATCTTTCACTGCAATGGATAGCAGCACACACCCATGGCATTCAACATGAACCAAAAGAAGACACAGAGGGAACTTCCATAATGAAACAAAATGAAACAAAACTTTCTTACCATTGTCACGATTTGTCAGAGAATGCAGCCCATGTTCACAAAGCAAAACTGCAACTCCCTGTGCATCGAGTGAACTTGGCTGGAAGTTCAAATATAGCAGGACAAAGTTATTTCCCG